CTATGTCCCCAAGAACGCCTGCACCAGTGGGGACACAGCGGCCCCCGGCGCTGTCCGCTGTGGAAAAGACTTAACCGTGCTCCATGCATCAACAAGGTCTCAAAATTACAATATTGAACAAAATTAGCAGATTACTAGAGACTACCTGTGGCACGAAACCATTTAGGTAAAGCTCAGAGTTTTAGGAGCGTACTGAGGGGCGTAACAGAAGTGGGGGGAGCGGGCCATGAAAAGTAGATCATTTGTAAAGAAATGAAAAACAAGAAAATGAGCTAAAACTCGGTCTGCTTTCAATTATCCCCGTACATCAACAATTCTGAATATTATTGATAAAATCCTCCTCCCTGCAAAGGCAACTACTTCCAATTCCCGCCCTACACACACACACACACACACACACACACACACACACACACAACGTCGGTAAGCAACTGAGCACATGGTTTAGAGACCCTTTATTTCAGGAGTAAGCATGTCAGGAAGAGCAAGGGAATGAGAGAAGGAAAATTCAGGTGAGTGGGGAGAGGAAGAGGGGTACAGGTGGGACCCAGCATGGATGCCTTCAAAGGAATTCCTTGTGCTCTTTTTTTTTTTTTTTAAGATTTTATTTATCCATGAGAGACACAGAGAGAGGGGCAGAGACACAGGCAGAGGGAGAAGCAGGCTCCATGCAGGGAGCCCGACGTGGGACTCGATCCTGGGTCTCTGGGCTCACGCCCTGGCCCCAAGCTCAATGGCTGAGCCCCCGGGCGCCCCTCCTTGTGCTCTTTTAAAACCGAAATGATGGGTACGTGGCTGCTTGTCGGATTTTTAATCGCTTATTTAGTTATTTATTAATTTACGCGTTTACTTGTATCTTGTGTGTGTATGACATCTCTACCCCCAAGAGAAAGAAAAATCAAGGCTCAGAATCGCAGGGGGCGGGGCAGGCCGCAGAGGGCAGCTCGGGGCGGAGGACTCCAGGGTCACACCTGAAAGGTGCTCAGGGGGGGCTCGGGGAGGAGGGGAGCACGTGACCGCAGCAGCAGGTGCCAGCTGCGCTCTGGGGGCCGGGTGGGGGGGGCGGGGAGGGCCTGGGGGGGCGACCCCGCTGGAGCGCTGGGGAGACAGTCGAGGCAGGGACTTCACCCCAGTTTGCCGGGCGCGGTCAGGGCCGTGGGGCAGGGAGGGGGCGGGGAGGGGGCGGGCCGGTGGCGGCAGGGGGATGCGCGCCCACAGCCGCAGGCGCCCCTGTTCTGGGGCCTCGCGGACGCCCGCGCTCCCCACCGCCTCCGCTCGGACCGCGGGGCGGACCCCGGGCAGGTCCCCGGTGCTCCGTCCCGCGCGGGCTCCCACGGGGGCCTCGCCTCTCCAGGTGTGCTGCAAGAGACCCTGCTCGGACGCCCCCCACCTCCCCCGGGCCTGGGGCGGGTCCCCGGGGTGCAGTTGTCATGGGGACGCCCGCCGCCAGCCTCCCGAGCCGAGCCATGGGACTCTGCCGGTTACCATGGAAACAGCCTCCGCAGGGCCCGGGGTCCCCGCCCCAGTGAGGACTCCCCTCCCGCAGGGGGGGGCGCAGGGCTGCGGGCGCCCTGAGCCCCGGGGGGTGGGGGCAGCCATCCGCAGGCTTCCCGGGCCTGGAGGCCCAGTCCAGCTCCTGCACCCATCAGCAGGGCGCAGACACCCTGAATCCCCCCCCCCCAGCGAGGCTGCCCATCCCGCCTGCACCCTCAGGTCCACCCTTGGCCGCTGCAAACCCGCTGGCCTGGCCGCGACCCCTCCCGTGGGCTAGCCACCTTCTGTCCCCCAGCTGCCCTCTGGTTCCTGGGGGCCCATCTGATCGGGTGCCTTGGACTCTTCTGCCTCCAGGTCAGGGTGCACCAGGGAGGCCGCTCAGGGGCCCCCACTGCGGGTGGGGGTCAGGTTCTCCCCCAGCCACCCGCTGGCAGAGAACACTCGCTCCCTCTTACTCCCCCTCCAGGTCCCACCAGCGGGGAGCAACGCACCCCTGCATCCGCAGCCCCCCTCCCGCTCCCTGGCACGTTTGCCCCTTGCTCCTGCTGGCTCCTGGGCCTCAGCGAACCCCGCTCAGCCTACTCTCGGCTACTCCCCATCCCTGACCCCTGACCCTGACCCCTGGAAGAAGACAGCATCTGCTGGCATTTTTTTATTTAAATAAAATATACAACACGGTGCATTTACCGTTTTCTGTTTTAAAAGTGGTAGATTTGAAAATCGCTTTGGGGTACTGGGGACGGGCGGGCCCTTGGACCTGGACCTGGCTTCCCCAGGCTCCAAGGAGCGGCTGGGCTGGGTCAGAGGTTCTATAAAATGCGTGTGTGCGTGTGTGTCGAGGACGGTGAGGCCAGGCCCTGACGGCAAGCGGGGTGGTCCTCACGCCTCATGCCCTTGTCCCCTCCACTCCTGCTCCTGTGCCCTCCCCCCGCCACCTCCAGGACTAGATGGGTTTGGGGATCCAGTCGGCCTGCCTCCCTGGGGAAGGGCAGGGTGGCAGGGGTGTGTGCAGAGCACAGGTGGAGGCCGCCACTTAAGCCCTTCCAGCCCCGAGAACTCCCTGGGCCCACGGGGCATTCTCCTGCCCACTGGAGACCCCAGCCAGGCACTTAGTCTCTCCCCAAGATCGCAGGATCCTTCACCACCGTCCCTCCCGGATGACTGCCCCCTCGCTCGGGCCCATCCGTGGAGACACGGGCCTGCCCCACCTCCCTGGACAACTCGGGACCGAACCTGATCCTGACATCATTCTGGCTAGAGCGTGGAGGGGGGTCCTGGGTGGACAAGGTGGGACCAGCCCTGCCCACTACTCAGGTCTTGGCAGGCAGACGCAGACCACTAACAGGCCCTGGCAGGGCCTTGCTGGGGAGCGAGAGCGTGCCTCGGGGGACATCTGCGCTGCTTTCACATCGGCCCCCCTCCTAAACCTGCTTCCGGCTCCGGGTGCCTTCAGAATGGGGGCCAGTCCGTTAGGAGGCTGCCTCGAAGGCCTTTGGGGCTCCCCCAAAGCCCCGAGTCTACACCTGCATATCTGCCTGGTCCCCTCCTCCCTGCTCTTTCCTTCCTCTTCTTTTGGCCTAACTCTTCCACCGCTCGCTGGAGGCCTGGCTCACGCCCACCAGCGGCTACCTGCCCCTTGGGAAGCCCGGCCACCTCCCTCGTCCTGAGACCATCAGGTCGGGGGACCCTCAGCCGAGGGGCTCTGGGCTCTTGCCTCGGCCTGTTGGAGCGGTGGGCTGGGCACAGGAGGCGGCACCGGAGGACGGGATTCCTCGAGCACCTACGATGGCTTGTGCCGGGCATAGGCAGGGCGGTTCGCACCTGCTACTGCTCCCATCTGGTCCCGGGGGACCCTGGGAGGCGGTACCATAGTGACTCCCGTTCTACAGATGAGGTAACAGACTCAGAAAGGCCGGCCAACTTGCCCTCGGTCAGCCGGCTAAACAGCGGCAGAGCTGGGATTCGAACCCAGGTCTGACTGCTTCCAAAATCTGGTCTCTTCCCACCACGCTTTGCTTGGAGACTAACTGTCCCTCTCAGCGCTTAGCCTCCAGCGGGCCCAGATTTCAGTCCCCGATGGGCCCTGGCTCTGCCATTCCGAGTTACCACGCTCTGGAAAAATTACCCCAAACTCCCTTTCCTCATCTTCGAAACAGGGAGACTCAAAGCACCTGCTTCGTGGTCTTTGTGAAATTAAAGGAGTCAACGTGTGTAAAGTGCGAAACCAGTGCTTGGCACAGAGCAGACTCAAGAACTACGAGTTCCCCTCACCTCCCAGGGTACCGACGGGAAACTGAGGGCCGTGGAGGTGACGGGGATGTGCTTGAGGCCCCTCAGGGCAGGAGGCGTCTTCTGCTTCCGCACGGTGAGAGGTCAGGCCAGGACTGGACTTGAGACCAGAGATGTGGAGAAAGGGGGGGGGCCTGCTGAGGGGTCCTGGGGTCCTCTTCCCTGAGGACTGGAGAGAGCACTTCCCCCAGGCCCTGCGGTGCCCAGCCAGAGGGCCAAGGCGGGCTGCTGCATGTAAGGTGACCTGGGTGTCCTGGCAACACGGGGTTACAGTGTGGGCACATGAGAGTGGCTGTCTACACGGCTCTAGGGGCGCTACGCAGCTCTACGTGTACACATCTTACATACATATACATATACATAGTCATATACGGATCTGGCTAAGTTTGCAGTAGAAAAAAAAAATGCAAGACTCTCAGGGCCCTGGCCCCATTTCATCTCTCAAGGACTCAGGTGACCGAGGCTCCCCAGAAACACATCCAGGGGCAACCCCTTCCAGTGGGGGGCGGGGGTGGGGGCACAAGAGGATCCCCTGCAGAGCTCCAAGTTCACAGCTAAGGGGCTGGTGGTGGCGGGGACTGCTGCCCTAAGATGGACACAGTAACAGACCTGCTCTAAGACCCCCAAACGTGGGTCACCCCACCTGCGGCCAACCCCAGAGACCCCAGAGACACCAGCCAGAGAGAGACCCCGCCTGCCTTCTTCGGGCTTTTGCCTTTGGGCCCTGCCTGCTTCCCTCCCGCTCCCTCCCCTGCTCCCTCCCGTCCCCCCCCCTCCCTCCCTCCCTCCCTCTAGTGCTGAGTATTAAAATAGTCTATAAAAGCAAGTGACCAAAAATCTATAGCTCTAAGAATACCTGGTTATTTTCTGCTGTCTTTTGTTTTTCTGGTGTGGGGTGTTTTTTTTGTTTGTTTGTTTGTTTGTTGTTGTTTTTAATGATAATCGTTATTGTTATTGGTATATCTCCTAATAATCACAGTTAAACCTGAAGGAAGAAAGGAGGCAGGAGGAGGAGGAGGAGGACGAGGAGGAGGGAGGGGGGTGGGGAGAAGAAGAAGAAGAAGAAAGAAGAAGAAGAAGAAAGAAGAAGAAGAAGAAGAAGAAGAAGAAGAAGAAGAAGAAGAAGAAGAAGAAGAAGAAGAAGAAGAAGAAGAAGAAGAAAAGAAGAAGCAAAAAAGAAAAAAGAAAAAACAGGAGGGGAGAAGGGGGGGCCCTGCTCATAGATTGGACGGCAGTTTGGAGCAGCGCGCGGGCTCAGGCCTGGCCCCGGGTTCTCTCTGGGGCGCAGCAGTCAGAGCGGGGCCCCCGGGGGGGGCGGCTCTTGCGCCCAGCGAGGAGAGGGGGGGCGGCGCGGAACCTGAGGGTGTCTTCCGAGGCAGGGTGACGCGCTGGCCGGCGCCCCCGCAGGGCCTCCCCGCGGGGCCGAGGCCGCCGCCGCCCCCCGCCCGGGGCGCGGGCGGGACGGCGGCCACCGACTCCCCCGACGAGTGCGGCGACGCCCCGCGGAGAGTCTGCGCCCCGGCGTGCGGCAGGGCGGGCTGCGAGGCCGAGAAGAGCCTGAGGTCCCGGGTGAGGCGGCCCGGGGTCAGGGGCGGGGTGCCGCGGCGCTGCGGGGGCTGCGGGGCCGGGGGGCTGCGCGCGGGCGGCGGCAGCAGGGAGCCGTGCGAGCCGGACGCCCGCGGGGGCGGCGCGCTCGGGAGCGTTCTCGGGGGCCCGGGCCGCTCGGGGGGCCGCGGGGGCGGCTCCGGGGCGCCGGGCGCGGGGTCCCCGGGGGGCTGGCCCGGGCTGGCCGCGGGGGAGCGCGCGGCGGGCGGCGGCGGGGGCGGGGGCGGCGGGGGCGGGGGCGGCGGCTGCAGCGGGGCGCGCGCGGGGCCGGCGGGGGGCGTGCGCGCCGGGGAGCCGGGCGAGGGCGGCGGCGGGGGCCCGGCCAGCTGCGGGAGGTGCAGGGACGACGACGACGGCGTGTCCAGCTGCGACGGGCTGCTGGCGGGCGAGGCGGAGGCGGCGGCGCCGGGCGCGGACGGGAGCAGGGACTGCAGGCGCCTGGGGTGGCGCGGGCCGGCGGGCGGGCGGAACACGGCGGCGGGCAGGCGCGGGTGGTGCGTGAGCGCCAGGGCCACCGACGTGGTGGCCGCGGCCGCCTGCAGCGGCGCCTGGATGAGCGGGGTCCAGATGACGGGCGCGGGGGGCGCGGCGGCGGCGGCGGCGGCGGCGGCCTGCACGCGGTGCGCGCAGTGGGCCATCTCGCGGTCGTGCTGCACGATCTGCTGGATGATCTCGTTCTCCTGGTAGTTGAAGACGCCCGAGTTGAGGTCGTGCTGCACCTTGTGCAGGAGGATGGAGTTCTTCTTGCCTGCGCCGCACAAGGGAGCGGGGGCTCAGGCCGGAAGGACGGGTGCAGGGTGCAGGGGCCTCCCGGCCTCCCGCCTCCCGGCCTCCCGGAGGCCGCCCTCACCGATGCGGTCCAGGCGGTCCAGCGCCACCGTCTCGAAGGCCCGCCGCATCATGGGGTACTCCTCCAGCACCTCGTTGAAGTTGTCCACGCTCAGCGAGTACAGGCGGCAGTAGGTGTCGGCCCGGACGCTGGCCGTGCGCCGACCCCGGGTCAGCAGGCAGATCTCTGCGGGGACAGCGGGAGTGGGGAGGACGAGCGGGCTCCCGGCCCGTGCCCCCAGCGGGTGCCGGGCTCTCCCCCAGCCCCGGCACCCATCCACTGGGCCGCAGACACCCGCCAGGCGCCAGGCGGCGACCGCGGAGGGCCGCATCGTCATCCTCGGCCTCCCCAGCCCGGGTCCCCCTAGGGCCCCCGCGGCCCCCTCACCCCCCTCACCTCCGAAGTAGGAGCCGTCGGCCAGCTTGGTCTCCTTGTTGCCCTTGGTGAGCACGCTGACCACGCCGTGCTGGATGAAGTACATCTTCTTGCCGATGGTGCCCTCTCGGATGATGTAATCCCCCGGCTGGAAGACCTCGAAGCGCAGCTTGGTCAGCATGGACGTCACGAAGTTCGGGTCCGCGTTGGCGAAGAGCGGCATGGAGGCCACCAGCTTCCGGCAGTTGAAGTTGATGATCTCCTGGTCCCCGGGCGGGGCGGACAGGGAGAGAGGGAGAAGGTGAGGGGGCCGCCCAGCAGGAAGGACGCTCCCCTCCCGGCCCCGGGCCGCCGGCTCACCTCCCTCAGTGGCTCACTCAGCTCGCCCAGGATGCTCTCCTCGTCGAACATCTTGCCCTGGTAGCGGTGCTCGTAGTAGTCGTGGATGCGCTGCCGGGTGTCGGGCGGAAGCTTGTGGAAGGACATGTACTGCTCCACCTGCTTGTACTGAGTCACGGGAGACAGGAAGAGGGCGTCACCCCGGGAGGGCTCCAGCCCTGCTGCTGACCAGAGCTGGCACCAACCTGTGGGCCTCCCTGGCCGACCCTGGCTCCTTGAGACCGAGATCCATGCTGTCGGTGTGCCCCAAGCAATGGCCCTGACTCCCAGGGCCTTGGGGGTCAGGGAGGGGCTCCATCACCGTGTTGAGTGCCGTGGAGACGGCCAGGGGCAATAGGGCCTGACCCAAGCCCGGGTCCAGGCCAACTGACCAGGAGGTCCACCAAGTTTCCTCCCCACACAGGTCTTTTCTGTGTCACGCTGTGGACCAGAGAGGCCCCACTGGCGCCAGGAGGTGCTCTTTGCCACCAGGTGACACTGGCATGGGCAGCAGGGTTGGGCTGCAGTGGGTTGGGGGACTGGAGGCTAAAGTCAGAGCGCCTGACCCGCTATATGCTGGGTATCCAAATGTGGCCCCAGCCGGCTCCATGTCATTTGTCGGAGTGACTCTAGCCCACGGGAGGGCCAGGGGAGGGCCAGGCCCTTAATCAGAGGTTGGGGATGAAAGATGGGTGAGCCTAAGTGCCCAGGCCTCAAGCAAATACGAAATGCTCCTATCCACCCAGGGGTGATGGGTGGGTGCTGCTTCAGCTGTCCTGAGACTGTGGGTGCAGAGCGGGCATCCACGGGAGCACGCTTGGCAGAAACAGATTAGGCACAACCGGACCGTTTCCTCACTGGCACGGAAGGGCAGTTCCTGTACCTGAGGAACAAGCAGAGGAGGGGACCCCGTTCCCGGGGACTGGTGCTCCCAGGAGGCGGGGACAAGCCCGGCTGTAGGTGCCTGCAGGCAACCGAGGGCTGGGAGATGACAGTTCCTTACGTTCTTCTGGCCACGTTGGCTCCAGCTGCTTGAGGCTGTGCCCAGCCCCAGGGGACAGGGACTTCCTGGCCGGCTGTGGGGCCAGGGGAGTCGGAACAGCTGGAGCAGTAGTTTAGAGCTTTCCCGTGCCAGGGGAGAGGGCACAGTGGAGGGGAGGCAGGGTCTGGAGACCCGGCCAGAGAACAAGCTTGTTGACGTGGTTCAGGCAAGGGCGAGTAGAGACCAGTGGGAGGGAATTCATCTCAGAGAGATTTACGGGGGACTCAGATTGGAGAGGCATTAGCTAAGGAACAGAATAAAGACACCCCTCAAATGGAGAGCCCCAAGCAGCTTGACTCTGCCCTCGAGTGAACCCTGGTGCTTTTTTCTAAACTATCCCTGACCGTCATCCCGGACTGAGCCCCCACCCGGGTCACACACGGAGCCCTGACCCGGTCACAGGCTGGGCCCTGACGCTGGCCCACTTTGATCCCTCACCAGGCCCTGGACTGAGCCCTGGCTGGAACGACCTGACGCCTTCTCACCGTCCCCTTTCCAGGACCCCTTGTTCTCATCAGGCTGATTTCTTTCCTACCTGCCTGGATACCTTTGTTCATGCTCCTCATGATGCCTGCCTAGAATTCTCTCTCCTTCCTCTGCTGCCCCAAACTGGCCCTCCCACCCTGCCCTGGCTCTGCAGGCTCTCCTGAGCTTTCCTTTCGGCAGCATGGCACCCGGGCGTCCATGTCTTGGTCACCCCACCAAGGGAGGGCACCCGGGGCAGGCAGGCAGCCAGTTAATCAATACACGCCGAGCCCCGCTATGTGCCGGACACTGGGAATTCAATGGGGGACGGGACACACCTGGGTCCTGCCCTCACAGAGCCATGACCTGGACAGGAAAGATGGACACTACACAAGGACCACACCATGAATTAAATCCATTAGGAGGACAAAGTGTGGTGAAGGGGTATTAGAGGTCACATGATGGGGGAGCTGATGGGGTCACAGAAGGCCCACCAAGGTCAAGTGCAGGCTGAAAGGTGGAGAAGTGGTCAGGTGAAAAGGCGAGAGGAGAGTTCCAGGCTAGTGTCGGTGCCAAGGCCTTGCAGGAGGCCGTGCCGGGGCGGGGGCGGGGGAGGGCGCTGGCCAGGCTGGAATAGAGGGCTGTGGGGCCCAGGGCATGATGTGGTTATGGGAAGTGCAGGGGCCAGATTATGCCCCTTAAATGTCAGGCTGAGGAAACACACCTCGGAGTTGCTCTGCGTCTACAAGTAACCTGGAGACCCGGATGAGTTTTAAGCAGGAGGATATGACCAGCTCTACATTTTTTAAATCTCTGCTCTATCTGCCACGCAGAGAAAGGAATGGAAGGTGGCAGATGGGGCCCACTTAGCCAATAAATATTGACTAGCCTGCTCTGTGCTGTCTTACAGGTTGGCATGTATTACTCACTCCGCATAAGCCCCACGATAGGAGCCCTTCTCCTGTCTCCCTCTTACAGATGGGCACCTGGGGCAGAGGTATGCAGTAACATGCCCATGCTCCATGGACAGCCGATTAGGCCCCTGGGCCCCACTGCGCGAAGCTGCCTGTAGAGCATAGCGCCTCCGAGGGCAGAAGGCATGGAGGAGCAGAGAGCAAGGCTTGAGCCACCAGGGACCCAACGTGTGACGACTGAGAGGACACGCCGCCGAGGAGAGCCAGCAGGACCAGCCAGAGTGGGAGGGTGTGCAGTTACAGAAACCAAGAGCAAAGCCAAGACGGGAGTGCTAACTGGCAAATACCACCGAGACGCCGCGCAAGATGAGGACCCCAAAGGATCTATGGGCTTTGGCACAGCGGAGGGCACCGGTGAACTTCAGTTTATGGGCTGAGCCATGGGTTCAGCAATCATGAACAAGGTGGGGGTTTGTTTGCTTTAGGAATCTGTCCAGGAAAAAGAGGCGGACAACAGCAAAGAGAACGGCCCAAGCCAGATGAGGGCAGAGGGCAGGAAACGTCGGGGGCCTGGCGTCAGGGACCCGCTGGCTGCCAGCCTGGGCCCCCTGGGGACCACGGGTCAGGTGCTCTCCTAAGGCTCCCAGGACGGAGCACAGCTTTCTGCCCTACCTTCTCCTGGTACTGGCGCCGAGACGAGTCCAGGGACTGGATGAGGGCGGTGGCGTGGCCGATGAACATGGCGTAGCAGGTGGCACCCACAATCATGCTGAGCATGGTGAGCCAGACGTCTGACATGCCCACGGGGGCCTGCCGTCCATACCCGATGCACAGCATGTGGCTCATGGCCTTGAAGAGGGCATAGGAATACTGCTTTCCCCAGGAGTTGTTCTGTGGACAGATTGTGGGTGGGTAGCTAGAAGGTCCCTGTCCCCTCCCACCCCTCAACCTAACTCTTTCCCAGTGGCTGAGCCCAGGGAGGGCTTCCAACCTTGCTGTTGGCTGGAAGCCTTGGGTGAGGGGCAGGAGCCCGCACTGGCGACGTGCAGCGACAGTGAACCCCCGACTGAGGCCTTTTCTCTTGCTATGGGGGACAGGATCAGACTAGAAGCCCCAGCAAAGGGACAGGAGCCAGCCTCACCCCCCCTCCGACTTTTCAGTCCTCAGGGAGCAGCCGGGAGCCCCGAGGCCGCCAAAGGCCCCAGGCTGAGCCACCCTGCTGTCCTCCACTTGCTGAAAATAGCTCCATCCCTACCCCCCACCACCACCACCAAACTACTGCCAAGTGAAGCCCATTTCCCCACTGACCTCAATTACAAAACCAGATATGCCTTCCCGGGGGGGACAAGCTCTGGCAGACTGAGCCAAAAACACTGTCCTCATTTTGGGCGAGCAAAGTTTGAGCGCTGCAGAGCTAACTCACCTCCTGGGTGAGCCCTGCCGGAATGGGTTCAGGGCTGAGGCCGCTAGTTATCCTCCCCCCTGCCAGGAGATGGACTGTCTGGAACAGACAATGCTTGAGGGCAGGAGGAGGGAGGAAGGGAGTGAGCGAGGCTCCCGGCTATTTTTGTCTCCAAAGCCAGCCAGTGTCTCAAGGAAGCCTCCGCGTGGGAAAGCTGGGCGCAGAAGGGCCATCTCCTGAATTTAGTGCATGTGTGGGCCTGTCACCCTCACACAGAGGAAACTGTCCCAAAAGAGGAAGCTGCCAGATGAACCCCAGCATCTGCTACCTCCCCTGTGCCTCCCTGTTCACATAGGGGATGGATGAGCAACTCTGTGCATGACCTAGCTCAGGCCCCAAAGAACTGGGGCGCGGGGCCCCAAACCCTTCCACGGTTCCCAGGCTGTCACTAGCACCTGGGGCAAGGCACAGGAGCTGTGAGCCACGGTCCAGGCCACTCAGGTGGTCCTAGACAAGCCGAGCCGGTCTGGTGGCTCTCGGTCCAGACCTGGTTGGGAGGTCAGCGGGGCTGATCCTGGGGTGCCCGCCTCAGCTCCCAGCCTGGGGACCCAGGGTGGCCCCAGCTGCCTCTAGTCAGGGCTTGGCATGGGGGGCGGGGAGGGGGGACCGGATATTCAATCCATCTGGCCAATTCATTTACACTTAGCTCGTCAAAAGGCTGTTTGGTCAAGGCCTAGTTGATGCTGAAAGAGGCCTCAGGTCCCTTCACCTCTTTCAAAGCAGGCTCCTCCTCCCCTGGGGCTCCGGGGATTGGCCCACGGGTGAACCACAAGGACAGGGTGGGAGAGGGAGGCAGGCGGGCCTCTCAAAGCTGGGGGGGGGTGTTCACGGGTCCAGGGGGTCCTCGCCCCGCCTGGTGCCCACTCTGCACGTGGGAGGCGTGGGGTGGGGGGCTCTGCACGATGGCTTCCTGGCCCCCATTCCATCTTCCCTCCTGGGGGCTCAGACCCCCACCTGTGGGGGCCTAGGGGGTGGGGGTGGGGGGAGGGCCGGGGAGGGAGCCCACTCAGAAGCCCGCCATAAGCTGCCTACAGTGCCCCTCCCCGCTTTCCCTTTTCTCAGGCTCAGCTTTTAGGGTTGGTCGGGCCTCTGGGGGACAGAGGGAGGATGGCAACCCCCAGCCCAGCTTTGCCACACTTGATACAGTGAGAACCAGCAGGTCTTCACCTCCTTGAGGGGAGTCGGGGCCCACACCAGGGGGCTGGAGGTGGGCGCGGGATGGGGGTGATGGGCCTGCACTGGCTGGAGCCGTGGGCCTTGGCCACCGTGCTGGCACCTCAGGACCCCATGTGCCGGGGCTCAGGTGTAGACCTGCGCTGTGGATCTACGCTGCCCATTGGTGCTCTCACCCCCCGACGCCCCAAGGGAGGCCTGAGCTGGGAGCTCACCACCATGTTGTTGATGGACACCCAGCAGTCGTCGGGGAAGTCCTGCAGCATGGGCACCAGGAACTGCAGGCAGCCGTCCCAGTGGCAGAGCAGGAGCATCATGCCGATGAGGTTCACGATGCGCACCACAGCGCTGGCCAGGTCGTAGGTCATGTGGAAGATCTGGGGGCACAGGGAAAGAAATGGGCCTCGTAGGTGGCTGGCCAGCCTACCAGGAGAGGGGGTGGCCACTCCTGCCCGGCCTGCAGCTGCCCAGGACACTGCCCCACGCCTGCTTGGCGGGCACCGGCCTGGGGCTGGGCAGGTGCAGGTGGCCAAGGCGGGAGGTTGGAAGAAGCTCGCAGCAGGCCATAGGGCCCCAGGGGGACGCCTCCAGGGCTTCCTGCGGGTGTGGGGGCCTCCCTGGAAGTCCAGCCAGCCATCCAGGCCCGATGCTTGAAGGGAGGACACCTGGGGCCCCCTACAGCCCCGAAGTGGGCAGAGACGCTGCTTCATCAGCTGGCCTGGCCGGGAGGACGACAGGGAGAAAGTCAGCCAGCGTGGGGCTCCTCGGGGGACCACAGTCTGTCATCAGGCCAGGGGCACTGTGTCTCCCCAAATCTGCCACTGGACACCAAGGACCTAGCAGCAGTGGGGGGCTAAGCAGCCTGGACACACAGGCTCCCCCGGGCTCATGTGGACCTTGATCCCAGGCCCACTTCCACCCAGTTCCTAGCTGTGCGATCTTGAGAAAGTCCCTGAATCTCTCTGATTACGTGGCTCATCTGGACAATGGCAATAAAAATTCTTACCTGAATGGATTGTCAAATGGATTAAATTATACATATAAAGTGCCCGGCCCTGGCTATAGACATGTTCCATAAATTGCACACTATTATTAATTGATGAGCTGTTATTAATAATTAATCTTTATGACTAGTTAATATGTAGTAGTAGTAATGCTCTCCAGTATCATTTAACAAGTCCACCCCCTCAACCCCAGCCCAGTGTCACCCGAGCGTGCCCACCACTGTGGCTCCTAGTGAGGCCCCGAAGCTTGCGGGGCGGGGGTGGGGTGGGCATACCCAGCATCCCTGCCCCAAGGCCCTCCTGCCACAGCTGCTGCTTGGTCCGGGGTGGGCAGGGGTTGCCGTGCTGACAGGGCAGTGAGGGGACCGAGAGGGGAGGAGGTCTAGAGGGAGGCCTCTGGAAGCTCTGGCCTTGCCTCTGCCCTAGGAGACCCTGGAGGCAGGATGGGGTGGACTCTGGTGGCTGGTGGCAGGATATTCTGTTGCCAGTGACTTGTTTCCCCTTCTACAAGGGGGCTTGGTATGGGTCCAGGTTCTGAGGAGTCAAACATGAATACTACTGGTCGACCACCTCCGGGGCCGTGCCCACCTGCGGTCCCCTTAGTAGCATGACCCTGGATGTTCCATCCCAAAGGCTCTGGAGTCTTTTCAGGATGAAGCAGACCCTGGAAAGGTTCGTGGATGATGGAGCTCCATCACCCCCACGGCCCCGGTGACAGGGGGACAGTAACACCACATCCCAGTCATGCGGGGCATGCGGTCCCACAGTCATCCTCATTTAAACTCACGACGACCCTTTGCTGAAAATACTGTCAGCATGGCTCGGAGGAGGGACTGGGCGCCACCACGGTGGCAGTGGAAGAGGCCTATCTGACCCAGGGCTGCCTGCAGATGATGAGACAGGCCCAGGAGCTCTGTTTTGCAGATGAAAGGACTCTACCCCAAAGTGGCCGAGGGATGTGTCTGGGATCGCAGGCCACGCGGGCCCCAGGGCTAGCCGCAGTGCCCAGCATCCGCGCGCCCAGCAGACTGATACATGTAAGCAGTGGCGGGCACTGCAGACCGGGCAGGGCGGTGCGGGACCGGGGCCTGCGTCTAGAAGGCCGCACATGCCTGAGTGTGACACCCGTGCCTCTGGCCACCGTCGCTGCCGGCCTTGCCCTGGGGCCTGGACCTTGAGCCCGGAAGCTCCTCAGCCTCTCCCCACCACCCCCAGCAGCTCCTGAGCACCAGCACCCCACCCCGTGTGGCACTGACCGGAGGTCTGAAGTGAGCACAACAGCCCTGTGACCTTGGGCCAGCCACTAACCTTTCAAAGTCTCTCCCCGGATGTGGAGGATGGGGAAGGCAAGTGACATGGGCGCATCCAGTCTCGGAGATGACCAGCACCCGCCCTCCCAAACCACCAGATCTCAGCCTCCCCTCGGTTAAGACAAGCTACACATCTGCCCCCCCCCCCCCCAAGGTCGCTGGAGAAATTAAACTGGCTGTGTTCTGGGCCCTGAACACAACACCGTGCGGTGGATCATTATTATGAAGCTCCTTCATTTCCCAGCTGCTGCAAACTGGAGGTTTGTGTCCCTCAAAAGCCATATGTTGAAGCCCAAACCCCCACTGTGATGGCAATAGGAGTTGGGCCCTTTGGGGGGTGATTAGGTCACTGGGGTGGAGCCCCCATGAATGAGGTCAGTGCCCTTAGAAGAAAAGACATGAGAAGGAGGATCTCTGTCCGCAATGTGCGGACGCAACAAGGAGGGCAAGGGCCTTAGGCAGAAATCGACCATCCTGGCGCCCTGATTTGTCCTTCCAGCCTCTAGAACCATGAGAAGCAAATGTTTATAGTGTAAGCCCTCAGGTCTGCAAGTTCTCTGTTCTAACAGCCCCAGCTGCACCGTACGTATGGTGTCTAGGGCACAGGGTACCGTGCAGCGTCCTCCTCTGCAGTATATGCCACATAACATGGTGCCGGAGCTGAAGGAGCCGTGGACCCTGTCAGAAAGCGTCCCAGACTGGGGCAGCTCATGAAAACTGCTCTTCTGCATGAGCCACTCCCGGCCTGAGAGACACAAGTAGCGGGTTGGTATATTTTTATGCAAAACCTTTTTTTTCCTCTTTTAAAGATTTATTTAGGGGATCCCTGGGTGGCGCAGCGGTTTAGCACCTGTCTTTGGCCCAGGGCGCGATCCTGGAGACCCGGGATCGAAACCCACGTCGGGCTCCCGGTGCATGGAGCCTGCTTCTCCCTCTGCCTATGTCTCTGCCTCTCTCTCTCTCATTCTGTGTGACTATCATAAATAAATAAAAATTTAAAAAATTTAAAAAAAAATAAAGATTTATTTACTTATGAGAGACACAGAGAGAGAGACAGAGGCAGAGACACAGGCAGAGAGAGAAGCAGGCTCCATGCAGGGAGCCCAACGTGGGACTCGATCCCGGGTCTCCAGGATCAGGCCCTGGACCAATGGTGGTGCTAAACCACTGAGCCACCCGGGCTGCCCTATGCAATACCTTCTTTTCTTTGGGTATCACCTATGTGTTTTGTTCCTCCGTAGCTGATTTTCCTCCAGGATCAGGTTCTTGTCTAGTCTGCCTTTATCAGGACCTCAGCAATGAACAAAGCAGACCACATGGTAGGGTCTCAGGAACCGAGAAGTGCTCAGCGACAAAGGTAAAGGGGAAGGTGACGATGACAGTGATGGGGATGATGGTAATCAGGGCTGCCACAAGTGTATATGGTGGCGTTTGGAAAAGGCTCTGGGCAGGTGCAGCCCACGGGGGACCCTGCCTCTGCCTTCGCGGGAAGGAAAGGGGCCTTTGCCTGCAGGTGGGCACGGACTCACGGGTCCTGCACGGCGGTGGTGGTGATGGTGATGGTGATGGTGGTCGTGGTGGTGGTGGTGGTGGTGGCGGCAGTGGTGGAGCTCGGTGTTGGGCTGAGGGAAGCTGGAGGGGGGGCCTGGTGGGGGTGGGGAGGGGTGTGGGGTGGGACTCTGGGGCGGCGGGAGGGGCACTCTGGATGGCTCTCCGTGCAAAGCCAAAGGCACCTACGTGGCAAAATCTGAACTTCCTGCCAAGGGTTGGTGGAGTGGGGGGCACATCCATCCAGGCTAGGCGGGTAACCCGGGCGGGGCGGACATGCACACGCACTCTGGCCCCAACACGACGGCACCCAGGTGTGGTTGCTGAGAGTGAGTCTGGCAGTTGCTGGGAGAGGCGGCTAACCACTTGTGTGTCCCCGCTGTGGGCTGGGGCCGCAGGCCACCCGCAAGTCAGCTGCGCTGCACAAATATTTGTCTTGCTCTTTATACTTCATTAAAACCCCCCTTTTACGATGTTGGTTCTGACTGTGGGGGTTGAGTACCTTCATTTCCAGGCCCTGCAAGGCTCGCTGGGCGGGCAGCCTGAGCGGCTGGCCCTCTGTCCCCACATGGCCCTCGGGAGAGGCTCCGGAGCTTGCCGGCCACAGTGTGGAGACAGAGCGACATGTCCTCCAGCTTGGCCAAGCGCCTTCTCTGCTCTGAGCCTGTTTGCTCATCTGTGTAATGGACCAGTAACTGCCAGCTCCCGGGGCTGTCTTGGGGATCAGGAGAGATGATGTCCACAGCTGGTACACAGTAGGTACTCAATGCATGCTGGTTCCTCTCCTTCCCTCTCTTCCCCAGCCTTCAAACAAAGAGTTGGTTTCTCAGTCCTGGGGAGAGACCAGAAACTGGAGTTTCCGCCAAGGCTTCTGCTCAGGGCAGGGTTGAGTTCCCTCCCAGGGAGACTCATATTCTCCTCAGGGAAAAGACCAACTTCTCCCTGCATCTGAGGGACCAGCGGCCGCCCTGGGGTCAGCGATCCCTGGCCAGAGAGGACGGCTGGTGCCCAAGTGTCCTGGGGACAGCCTGGAGGTGGCCCAGCTGAAGGTCACCCTGGGTCCCCTCCTGGGGCCTATAGAGTGCCAACCCGTACGCTTAAAAGCACTCCTCAATTCTGAGCGAGAAAGAAAAATCGAAGTCCGTGGAAGAGGAGACTCCTCGGGAGGCTCGGCCAGGCGCAGCCTCCTCTGTCCAGCCCTCCTCCCCCAGCTCTCGGCTGCTGAGGGAAAGAGGATTCTGGGATGGGTCGCTGGGGTGCTGGGCCTGCTGGGGAACATCCGGAGGGTGGGGGGGCGGCGACCACGGTTTCTAACAATAGCCTCTGTGCCTGTAACAAGCTCACACCTCCCAGGGAGGGAAGAGGCTTGGCTGGGAGAAGCTTGGGAAGAGGAAGCTGACCTAGATCGCCCGGGATGGAGGCAGAGGCTGGCGTCCTCTGAGAGGGTGGCTTGCAACCTGCCCGAGACCCTCCGCCTCTCCTGACTCCCGAGACGCTTGAGGACTCTCTGGCGGGGGGCTGGGCTGGGCGAGGCAGTCTGGCATCTCCACGGCTTCACCAGGGCCACCCAGGGCCACGACAGTGTCCTCAGGGTCAGCTAACGTGGTCCCTGCCAGGGGAGGCCAGGGTGGGGACCAAGCCCCGACCCCAGAACATCAGAGCACAGTCAGGAAAACCAAGGTCCCCAAAAGGAAAGAGATTCACAGAGGGAGTTAGAGGAGAGAGAGCAGGCTTTTCTCTACTGAACACCTCCTCTCCCGAATCTCACGAAGACCTGGGACTTCTGGGGTCTCCCCACTACTGTCTCCAGGCCACGCTGAGGCAAGAAGCCCCAGGCCTAGGGCAGGCTATGTGGAGACAGGGTTCCCGGGGCCAGCTAGGGAAGCCCGATCCAATCCCGGGGGTCCAGTGGGAGCCCCTGGCTGGGCGGTGTCCTGCAGAAGCCAGCTCAAAGCAACTTCCTCCCCGCTGGTGGCCAGATAAGGGTGTGTGCGGAGGCGGCGGGGAGTCATCTATTTGGCCTCCTGGGATCTCCATCCCTGCCCACGAGACTGAGTACCAATGTCCAGTTCAGAGCTCTGACCTAGGCCTCCTGGGGCCTCTGTCTACCCCGGGGAAGAGCCAGGGCAAGGCCTGCCTGGCCAGTTCTGGAGAGCCCAGCGGGGAGCCAGGCCAGGGAGGCGGTGGGGACAGAAGCTCCGGACCGAGCTCCCACGATGCATGGTGCGGGGACATGGTTTCTCTGCCGTCTGCCAACTCTCCCCAGATACCATGGCCCCTAGGGCCCAGGCGTAAGGAAGGAGCAAGGGTGGTTCCCGGGGGGCTGGAGCCTGGAGACTTGAACCAATGCCACAGAAGGTCAAGAGTGGCTACTTCTCTGCTTTTGATGATAGTCTAGCTGTATGTTTAAGACAAATTGAAGGCTGGGGGGTGGCCTTGGGGACTGAGAGACCCAACATGGTCTGGAGGTCTACCTGGAGGTCTCTAGGGTCCAACCTCCAGGCCACTGTAGTTCGACTTGGGACAGAAACCAAGAGACTACTTGTCAGGACATTCTAGGAAATATGCCTCCATTCTTCCTCTGCAGCCGCTCAGGGGGGCCCCCGGCCCCCAGCCCCACCCCAACACTCTCCCCTTTCAGGTCTGAGCTCAGATCCCCAAGCCAACATCTATCTCTTTGCACCTGGAGGTCCCAGAGGTACCACACGTCCAACCCATCACACAGAACTGCCCCACCCCTCGGCCCACTCTGCTGCCTGCCCCGCTGCCTGCCGTCCCAAGCGCAGCTGGGAGTCTTCCCTAACAGAGGGACAGATGACAAAATCACTGGCATCCTGCTTTCAGGTGACCTAAGAATGCAGGAAGTGCAGGGAACCCAGAATCAGGAGGTCCAGTTCCAAAATCCTACCACTGGGCCAGCCCGACTTTCTGCCCCTGTTCCTCACTGGCAAACAGGAATAATCAATCCTGCCTGCTTCACCTTGCCAGCTAGGTGTGAGGAGCCAATAAAACAAAGGGTAAAAAGTATTTGAGGGGCGCCTGGGTGGCGCGGTCAGTTAAACATCCGACTCTTGGTTTCAGCTCAGGTCATGATCTCAAGGTCATGAGATCAAGCCCCACATTGGGCTCTGCACTCAGTGTGGGGTCTGCTTGGGATTCTCTTTCCATCTTCCTCTGCCCGCCCTGCTCGTGCTTTCTTTCTCTCTCTCCTCTCTCTCTCTCTAAAATAAGGAAATATGTCTTTAAGGGAAAAAAAAGTACTTGAGAAACGTAAGCCCTCCCATAGAGGTATGGAGGGTTACTCAGACAAATGACCAGGGAGGGGCATTTATCAGACCATCCACCAGGCTTCCTGCTAAGCATTTTATTTTATTTTATTTTATTTTATTTTATTTTATTTATCTTTTGGGGAGGGGGGGCAGCCCCGATGGCCCAGCGGTTTGGCACCACCTTCAGCCTGGGGTATGATCCTGGAGACCCGGGATCGAGTCCTGTATTGGGCTCCCTGCAAGGAGACTGCTTCTGCCTGTGTCTGTGTCTCTGCCTCTCTCTCTCTCTCTCTCTCTCTCTGTGTCTCTCATGAATAAATAAATAAAATCTTTAAAAAAAAATTTATGCTAAGCATTTTATAAACATCATCTCGGGGCACCTGGGTGGCTCAGTGTTTGAGCGTCTGCCTTCAGCCCAGGGCATGACCCCGGGGTTCTGGGATCGAGTCCTGCATCGGGCTCCCTGCATGGAGCCTGCTTCTCCCTCTCCTTGTGTCTCTGCCTCTCTCCCTGTCTCTCTCATGAATAAAAAAATAAAATCTTTAAAAAACAAAACAAAACATCATCTCATTTAATCCTTCCAACAATCCAGTGAGGATTATACCCACTTTGCAGATGAGAGACTGAGGCTCAGGGAGGCAAGCTGGCACCAAGCTCACCCTGCTAGACAGAGCCAGGATTCTAATTCAGACCTCACATGTGTAACCCTTGCTAGAGCCCCCAGACCTTCCACTGCTTCCACTCCTCATTGCTGGGAGTCAGGAGAGCTAACTGGGCTCAGCTCCAGCTCCAGCTCAGCCAGATGCCTGCCACATGACCTTGGGCAAGTCATTGCCCCTCTTCTGTCAGCAGGAATAATGCAAATTCTCCTACACAAAGAGAGTTTCTGCCACAGAGTGACACTGCCAGGCTGGTGTAGGCACTTTCGCAGCACAGGTGTACGTTCCTGCTCCCTCTGACCTCAATCTGCCAATGCCTCGACCATCAGCCACGGGTGCTACTGTGAGGGCCCAAGCTGCTGCTGGGGTGGGGACCTTATGTCCTGAGCATGGGAACTTCCATCCAACCAAGCGCAGGGGTCCTGGAGACCAGCAGACCGGCAGTGAGCCATGGCAAGAAACGTGCCTCTGCAGAAGCTTCCTCAGGCTCCAGCCTGCTCTGCACCCCAAGGTGGGCAGCCTCACAGCGTATACCTACCCCCACGCTGGCACCTCCAGGCCGGCCAGCCTGCTGCCACTGCCAAAAGGCATAAGTTGGACGGTGGCAGATGCAGACAGAAGCGCTGGCACAGTCACCTGCTGTTTTACAAACTCCAGCCCACAGTCCTCCTCTCTTCCTCCCACAGAGGACTGCATTCGGCCCATGGCTGAGTTAGGTTTGTTCCAAACAGTGTTGGCCCACCCAGTTCTTTTACAATTTTTTATTTAGTTTCTGTAGCCAGGGCTCTGCCCACAGCCCCTAGGATCCCTTTACGGTTCTTGTGCACATGACTCCAGGCTCCTCGCATGTGGGCTTTTCACTCCCGCCAGCTAGCCACTATGGCTCTTTGTCAGAGACCCACCCCAGGCTGCTGGGAGCTGCTTTGCCTGCCTAGCACCAAGGGCGGGAAGTGCCCTGAACCAATGGCTGCCGTGCAAGGGGATATAAAAATTCCAACTCCTTGTTCTGACTGGGACAACTCCAAGGTGTGAAGCACTGTGTCCCCAGAGCTCCCCACGGGACTTTGCTTGGTGTCACCTTTATTTGGCTTCCTTTCTTCCATCCTCTGTCCCTCTTCCCCAGCCCCCTACCAGATTATTCTTGGGAATGCTCCCTGCCTCAGCCCCACTGGGGGAAAAAGCCACTTTGATGCAGATCCTCACCTCAGGGTCTGCTCCAGAAGAACCCCCAGGACACCTAAGAATGTTGCCAACAAAATTCACAAAAATCCAGATTTCTGCTTCTCATGATCAGTCTGTAGATCTTGAAACCCTGAGCCTGGGGATCCCTGGGTGGCACAGCTGTTTGGCACCTGCCTTTGGCCCAGGGCACGATCCTGGAGACCCAGGATCGAATCCCACTTCGGGCTCCCGGTGCATGGGGCCTGCTTCTCCCTCTGCTTGTGTCTCTGCCTCTCTCTCTCTCTCTCTCTCTCTCTGTGACTATCATTAAAAAAAAAAAAAAAGAAAAAAAGAAACCCTGGGCCTATTCTCTCTTGGCAACAAGTGGCTACAGTGGAGTAGAGGCAGATGGAAGGTGTATTCTTCAGTTATCCCCAGTCCACCACACTCCGTACTGCCTCCCACTGGCCCCTTTCACCCATTCATGTTCCCTGCCTGGCCCCTACAGCCTCATGAGTTTACGTTCTCTACAATATTGTCCAGTGGTTAACAGCGCAGGCTCTGGCATCCAGGTTCACCAATTACTGATTCTGTGACCTCATACAAATCCCTTAAACTTTCAGTCTCTTGGTTTCCTTATGGAAAAAGTGAGTACCTCTACAGTTATCAGAGACTTAAATGGGATACTGCCTGTAAAGTGATTTTCATATTATCAAGCACACGATAAGAAGTCAAGAAATTACTAATATTTGTCCTCTTGGAGCAGATGTGCCTGCTACAATCCAACAGCCCAAATCCAACTATCTGAGACTACCTGGTGGCCCCGCACTCCCCCTGTGGGAAAAATATCCCATCCTCTGAGAGGTTTGGGTCTTACCACTCACCTCTTCCCACTGGTGAATATATCGAATGAGGCGAGAGAGACGCAAGAGGCGCAGGAGGCTGAGGATCTTGGTGAAGCGGACGATGCGCAAGGCCCGGGCAGTCTTATAGACTTCTGAGTCAATGCGTGTTTCCACGATGAGGAAAATGTAGTCCACAGGGATAGAGGAGATGAAATCCACCACGAACCAGCTCTTGAGGTACTTCATCTTAATCCGCTGCGGGTCCAGGATGATCTCTGTGTTGTCCTCCACCACAATCCCTGTGCGGAAGTTGAGGACCAAGTCGATGAGGAAGAATGTGTCCGACACCACATTGAAGACAATCCAGGGTGTGGTGTTCTCATCCTTGAAGAAGGTGATGCCCACGGGAATGATGATTAGGTTTCCAACCATCAGCAGCAGCATGGTCAGGTCCCAGTAAAATCTGCCCAGAGACACAGGGGTCAGTCTCCAGGAAGACAGAAAGAATGAGTTACAGACCATGGGAGAAAACTCCAAGGGAGAGCACATGTGGAAGAATGAAGTCTCAGAAGGTTCTAAGTGACTTCATGAGATAGGCACAGGGGTACCATAGGCAAGATATAGAGATTGGAAGAGAAAGGCTCTCTTTTCCCTAAGGATACCCCCTGCCTGTCCCTCTGTCTGCTCCCCAGTGACAGGCCTTCCACTCCCAGCCCCACCTCCCAGTGGGAGTCAGGCTGAAAAGCAAACCAGTGATGTCCAGAGACAAGTGTGAAGCTGTTTCAGCAGTAGGAGCAGTTCGCCCCACAGTACCCCAGCCTCAGGCCAAGCTGCTCCATCCTCCCTGAGGGTCAGCTATGGCCTGAGACAGGCTGGCAGGCAGACATGCTACAGCCTGTGACCAGAGAGCAGGGGAAGTCCAGACACACAGCAGGTACCTGGGTGGCAGGATGCCTGGGATCCAGCCCCAGCTCTGTCACAGTCAAGTTGTGTGACATTAAGCAGGGACCCTTCCTGCTCTGGGCCTCAGTTTCCTCACTGTGCAATGAGGGGTGGAGCCTAAACACTCTGTCCCATAATTCCAATCTGGCCCTCACCCACACAGGCTTTTTGGGGCTCTTCCTTTAGTCTATCCCCTATAGTCAGAAAATGTTTGGCCATCTCCCTCCCCCAGAGGTTTACATTCTAACACAGGGTTGGGGAAGGACAGTGAGATCTTCAAGGGCATGAAGTGTTAATGAGGGGATTTCAGGCACCAGTAAGGTGCCACTCAATGCAATGGAGTGAGATCATGGGGGTTTACAGTATCATTTCTCCTAAGGTGTCATACCAATTGCAAGGGTTTCCTGAGGGAGGTGGGAAGGGCCCCAGGGTGAAGCCACCTGGACTAGAAGGGGCCCCTCTGGAGTGTGCACACAGCACACGCAGGCACAGACCACATGTCTAGAAGGTATGACCAATCAATCCCAGGGACCCTGCCCGAGTACCAGCCACCCCAGGGCTGGCCCCAAGATCTAAAACCTGCACTGCAGATCTTCAAAAAACCAAATTACATGAGGCAAAAATCCCCTCTGCTATTAATTTAGACAGTTACAAAATAACAGATAAAGGTATTGTTAAGTCAGGCAGAAGTAAGCATGTTCTCTCAAGAGAAATAACCTTTCAGCCATCTTTAATTTTCGACTGCAAGAAAGCCAGGAGGGAGTAGGAGACAAAAAGACCTGCCTCCCCCAAGTCTTCAGAGAGTCCCTCTCCAAAACCTGCCAGAGGAGTTCCAGGTTTGAAAAAAATCACTTCACAGCAAATTGCTGTCTTTGCCAGGTTCAAAATGGTGCTATGAGTCAAGGAGAGGGCAGGGTCTGCTTCACTGGAAGTGGATGAGACAGCTGTCCCACATCACACAGCTCAGGGAAAGGGCAGCTTCTGGAAGGGCAGCTTTGGACAGCTCCTTTGAAAACCAAGCCATTCAGGGCCTCAAGTCAGAGCCTCCCAGGCTAAAAGCTTCTCATTCTAAGGCTGTTGCCAAAAGGTCAACTTCAGCTCCTTCCCTGACCTGCAACCCACCACCCTTCCTCCAGCTCTGAGCCTCTATGCCATCTGGGAGAACCCAACCTAAGACCCAAGAACCCACCCTGGCCATCACACCCCCCACACAGAATACTGCACATCCTGCTAATGACGCGTGGGCCCCAGCAGAATGGTTTCAGCTTCAATGGGGTGTTCCTGAGCTGTGTACACTCTCTACACAGCCTCATGCATGTCACTCAAAGACAGCTGCAGACACTCATTAGAAGCACAAATAGGTATCCCCATTCACACACAGAGTGTGCAAACACCCCTATATACACATGGTCACCGTTCCTTTTCATTTAATCTCTTGGGAAAACCAAAACAAAACTGTCATTGAGAGGCTACTGAGGGCCTCATGGCCCTCTGTACATAAAGCTAATAATACACCCAGGCTAGAGGAGTTTCTAAAATTAACAGAGCAGGAGCAAGGCGGCTGAGAATGCTGACTTGGGCAGGCCTGCCACTCCAGCGGGTTTCTACACTTTCCCCAGCTCTAGTTCCCTCAATTACAGACCAAATTTGAGACAGTAATTAACAGGAGAATGTTTGCATTTAGTGGTCTTCAAAAAACCAAATTACATGAGGCAAAAACAACCATTTCCTTGCATTTTGACTAATTATTTCAATCGTGAGTTTCCAGATGCTAAGGCATATTTCTAGTGCCTGATCTGGGCTAGGGTCAGAATGCTGGAGCACTCCTCCCCACAAACCACTATCCTGGAGCATCACAGAGCTACCCAAAAGGCAGCATAATAATATGATGGGAAGAAAGGCCTTCAGAGCCAGCCAACCTCGGTTCAATTCTCAGTTCCATCATTTACTAGCAAGGCTTTTAATCTCTCCATGCCTCAGTTTCCTTGTCTGCTCACTGAGGAAAATAACAGTACCTAACTTGGGATGCCTGGGTGGCTCAGCGGTTGAGCATCTGCCTTCAGCTCAGGTAGTGATACCAGGGTCCTGGGATTGAGTCCCACATCAGGCTCCCCACAGGGAACCTGCTTCTCCTTCTGCCTCTGTCTCTGCCTCTTTCTCTGTGTCTCTCATGAATAAATAAACTCTTAAAAAAAACAGTACCTAATTTATACTGTTATAAGAATGACATGAATTGATATTTGTAAAATGCTCTGACCTATGCCTATCTATGTTATTAAATGAGTCAATAAGGATTCAAGACCTTATTCACAGGAAAAAGGTGAGGGAGGAAAATGAAAACGTCCAAGGAAGAGTCAAAACAAAGCATCTGCTGGGGGGGGGGGGTGGTGGAAGGAAACTTATAATGGTTCTGAGAGAGTCCAGTGGTGGAAGTCAAGGATTCTGTGAACAGACAACAGAATCAGGCTAACTCAGCAAACTGATGCCCTGACGTCAGGGAGCTCGTGGTCCCGTCAGAAGATAAGACTTAGAAGACAAGTTGGGCAACGATGTAAGAAACCATCCTAGGCAGCAGCCCAGCCATCTGAGGTGCGGTCCCATTGGCCCAGAAGGGTGAGGCCGAAAAGTGCTCGTGGAGGAGCTGGGCTTTGGGAGCTGCCCTTGGTACTGGAGACTACCTCTCCTTACTCTTGCAAGACAGCTGCACGGATTTTCTAAAGCAGGCCAGGCGTTGGGGGTTCAGCACCACGGACAGCTCCCGGCACTCGCCCAGTCCCTTGGGCGGCTCAGCCAGGGGATCTTGGCAACAGCCTCCGCACAGCATCTTCAGCCCCTGGGCCCCTCTTCTTGCCAACCCCAGTGATCAGAAGCATCTCAAGTGACTCCATAATGTCTCTGAGCTTTTTTATTAGGGGGGCTTCTTTGCGACTGAATTCATAAAGACTCCAAAACATTTCACACACATCAAGCACTTGCTTTGTGCTTTCCACATACTACTTGATTGAATCCCTGTACCAGCACTGAGGTGGCTGCTATTTTGTGGATGATGACACCAAGACTCAGAGAGAAGTATCTACTCAAGATCACACAGCTAGTGAGGGACAGAATGAGATTCTGAGAGGTCTGGGAGACTTGAGAGCCTGACCACTTAGGATTTTAGGCACCTCATTGGGATGCAGTGAGGGAGACCAGCCTTACTGGCACCTCTGCATCACACTGGGGAGGTAGCCTATCACAGCGGGTGTAGTCCTCTCTTGTAGACAAGAGAGGAGAGGGAGATAGTGCCAGATGGTGACTACACTTATAGTGGTGAGCACTGAATAATGTATAGAACTGTTGAATCACTATGTTCTACACCTGAAAGTAATATAACATTGTATGTCACCTCTAGTTCAATCATAAAGTTTTAAAAAGAGAGAGGAGAAGAGAGAGTTGTGAAGAGGTTTGGAGGGGACCCATCCTCCTGATGCTAGAGCCTTCTGAGGTACTTGCTAGGTGGGGAAAGTAGCACACCTTTCAAATATTAAAAGCATCCCAGTCATGAGCGATCAGTCGGGCACAGTTGCGCCATCCTGTAAAAGGGAGGTACTAACTCAGGTCCATGGAGGAGGGAATAGTAACATTTCCAAAACCTCAAGCTGGATGCACCACCTTCCCGCAGCACCTCGCTGCCCTAGAATCATTCATGGCTAACCCCCACAATCCAGGGTGTGCATCCATAGTGGCGGGTGGCAGGTCCTGACAGGGAAGCAAGGGCCACCAGACTCAGCCATGCTGGCGTTGGCACATGCCTGAATGACAGGCCTTGTTCTCTCCAAAGCCAGATGACCCTCCCCTATCCCAGTGTCCTCTAAGCTAAAAGGAAATCCTGGCCAGCAAAGACACCTCACCCTATTTTCAGCCCCAGGACCCCAGACCTGTCCTCCCTTAATCCTGGACCTTACCTCCTACCTGGCCACGCAAGCAGACAGGTGAACCTTCAGCAGGTGGGCATGGTCTATAGGGGAGCTTTGGAGGAGCAGGTGTCATGTGCAGAAGAAATGGGGGGATGGCAAAAAGCCAAGCAGCACTTTTACACTGACACCTAGAATATTTCATGGTTTGGTCTGAAAGGAAAGGTATGGCCCCAATACCTTTGGAAGAGGTAATGGAAGGCTCCTGACCCTGAACTCAGAGACTCAAGGACCAGACCAAGGGCCCTCTCCTTCCCTAGAGGTGAAGAGGAGTGAAAGGTAATAAAATGGGGCAGGAGAAGTAGAAGTCAGAAGAGGGATGGCCCCCTTCAGCCTCCTTTGGTCCACACACACCCATGCTTGCCTTTAGCACATACGCTTGCACACACGCAGGCACGCACATGTACACACATGTGTACACACCTACATACACACCCCCATAATACATTTTTGCACATACTTTCACCTATGCATTCCTGCTCATTTTTGCCCTTGTCCACACATGCATACTTTCTTGCCACACCTGCTTGCATACATCTTGACACAAATGACATCCACTGGGAATCCT